TTTTTTCTGGCGGAGCTCTACGCCGCTCCGTCCGCTCGGCGCCCTAAGCGCCGCCCCCTGACCTACTTCTCCAACGAAGGGATTGAATCCCTTCCACGCAGGCACGGCCGAAACGCCGCAGATATCGCTTCGCCCGCTCCTCCAACACACCGGGGGAGTGGAGGGGGAGAAAGAATTAAAAAAAAATAATAATAAAATGAAAGAAAATAAAATAAATAAACCCAAAGCCGGCCGCCCCCGCAGGACGCGCCGCCCCGCTAACGGCCGCCAAGATGGCGCGCGGCGCGGCTTTTTCCTCCTTTCAAACCCGCGGCCGCCCCGCCCCCTCCCGCCCCAGCCTGCCCCGCGCCTTTCTAACGAATTTCGGTTCGAGTTCGCCGTTTGGGCGCCATTTTCGAGTGTGGAAGCCGCCGAGTCGCGGCGCCGAGCCGGGGCCGCCCGAACCGCCGCCGCCCGTCCGCGTTGAGCGCGGCGCTTTGCCGCGGGGCAGCTGGAGCCGGGGCCGCCTTCGCTGCCGGCGGGGCGGACAGGCGGCCCGAGGGAGCGAGAGCGGAGCGCGGAGCGCCAGAGGTGAGCAGAAGGGGCGGGGGGCGGCGGGCGCCGCGTTCTTCCCCTTTGCTCCCCGCTCTGAGGCGGCGGCCGCTCCTTCACGGCGCTGAGGTGCCGCCGCGCCGTTCCGTGCTGCGGGCCGGGCTGTGGGGACGCGCTGCCCCCGGGAGCGAGGAGCCGTGTGTGGGAGCTCCGCCCGCGGCTTTTTACCCTTGGAATGGCGAAAGCCAAACTGTAGGAAACAGGGTGCCCGGTGCATGGCTGCGTCAAATGATGGAGGGCGGGGGGGGGGTTTAAAAAAAAAAAAAAAATTTGGAAAAAAAAAAAAAAAGGACTTTCTCGCAAAAGATTTTCTCGCTGACATCGGTTATCGCTACCGAAAGGCTTGCGATAAGGACGGCTTCCTGCCCGCCGCCGCCTCTCTCCCCTCCCCGCAGCGCGGTGCCGGGCGGAGCTGCGCTGTGGAGAAGCGGCGGCTGTGGAAAAAAAAGGCAGCCCGGTGCCGGGAGAGGCTGCGGCTGCCCCGGCACGGCGCTCCGTAACGGGAGCACGGGCTGCGACCGCTTTAAAACGAGCTCGGTGTCTCGTTTTTTCTCTCTTCCCCCCCCCCTCCCCCATTGTCCCAAATGAAGGACTCTCATGAGAGTGTGGGCTGGGGGTAGGTCTGCAAACGTCAAATGATTGGCACCAATTGTGAGATGACTTTCTAACCGCGTCAGTTTTTTTTAATCTGGTGAGAAGTAAACTTTCTCATGTCTGTTTCTCTGCAAACTGCTTTCCCCGCTTTGATTGAAACTCTTTAGAGAGTTTCCCTCCCGCCGGTCGCTTTCTCTTTGGCGTTTTGTGGGAGCCGTGTTGGAGTACCAACGTGTGGACTGCTGTGTGCTTCCTCCCTGCTCAAGTAGCTCTAACATCACCAGGGATGAAGGTATTTTCACGTTGCTCTGGCTGTTAGATGCCGAATGCTGGCAGACGGGGCTGCGCTGCGGCTCACAAAAGGAGTGTATTGATGGAAGCTGTTGGAGGGTGAAGCCTGTGCTCTGACTACGCAGGTCTTTTTGTTTGTGTGTACATACGCTCAGCATGGAGTGCTGAAAGCAAAGTGTGTGTCGGGACTGAATGCTGCGTGTAAAGAGCTCGGACGTCGGGCTCCCCGCTTCGTTCCTGCCGTCGTCGTTAACTCTTTTGCCCCTGGTGTGGTGTCACAGCTGCTCTCCCCAAGTGGGGTTTGGTGGCCCCGTGTGTGCTGGGGGAGTTGGAGCTTTGTGATCATTGAGGTCCCTTCCAACTCCGGGTCGCTCAGTGGTTCTGTGAGTGTGCAAACTCCATCGGCTTCAGGAGGTGCACAGCTGCTGTCTGCAGATCAGGGCGGGTCCGTTGTTTTTTGGGGCGATCCATTTATTAGTTTCAGCCATAGTTTTTGTTTCAGATTTGGGTTTTTTGTCTTCAAAATGCATCTGGTCTTTCGTTTCCGCGTTAGTAGTACTTCTAGGTGTATTCCATAGGGGACTGTAGTTTAACACAGAGATGGTGGGGTTTTCTTGTTTATGTTAGAGAGAGATCCCTTCGATAGTTTAATTGCTTGGAATTGCCGGGGAGCAGCCAGCTGAGATCATGGCGAGCAGGAGCACCAAAACCTCGACAGCAGCCCACCAGAAAGGCAGACAGCCCGTAGAGGAGCCCGCCGATGACATGCAAGTGGAAAAACAAGACGGCAGGCAGCCTGGGGAAGGAGCAGCAGAAGGTAGGTGGGAACACTGTGCTTCTGGTGCCGTGTAAACCTGACCGTGGTGCACAGCGAGCAACAGGGCTCAGCTGAAGTTGCCGACTATTCCAGATTGGACTCGCTCTATTCTCATCTAGAAAGGAGGATTGAAAGCTTTGACTCCTGACATGTTTAAACCGCTTTTAAAGCGGTTTGCAAAGAGTTGGTGCTGGGACTTGTGACTTAGTACAAGTGCAAAAGCAATTAGTGAATTTTCTCCTAATAAAGCCTATTTTATGTTCCTGATCTGTACCAGGTTGTGGTACAAGAGCCAGGATTTTTCACACTTATATGCAGCCAATGCTATGAGATTTCTTGGAATGGAATAAATGTCACGTTTATTTATTTAACTCTTAAAATGATTTGGCTTTCTTTTTCATGAAGCAGTGCATTGTCTTGTGGTTCTTGGGTTGAGTTTTTGCTGAAAGTATCTGGAAAAAGAGCAGTGTGTGTCTTTTAGGGTAGCGAGACAGGAAATGATTAAATGATTTGAGTGCAGATATTTGACAAATGGATTGAAATATTGAAATTGGTGGCAAAACCTACTGTCTACGTGAAGGAAAAGCTGCTGGTAACTGTTGAAAAACTGCTTTGCTTACAACAAGCAGATATCCAGGGGGCCAGTTTGTTTTCGTAACAAACTTCCTGTCTTTGCAGAGCAGTTGTGCTGTCATTACAGCTTTAGAGCATTGTGCAGCGATCCCCAAATCTTGCAGAGTGACTTGGGAGCACGCTTGCAATGTGGCTTTGCACTTATTAATTAGGAAGACTTTGCCTGTTTCAGATTTGTAGCCTTATTGTGACGGCTGTAGCTATTGTAATTGCGGAGTGCCTATTAAAGTGTGTTAGAATAGGAATTGCATAATGAAAGAACAAACCCACTGGTGAATCGATGGGATGCCTTGAGTGTCTCTTTTTGAAAGATTCAGTTCATGGAAAGGAGGATTTAAATTCTACTTAGCTCCTTTCAATAATTGCAGAAGCATAGCTTTGGTTAATGTAGAAATGGTGTCTGCTTTTGAAATCAAGCATTTTAAAAGGTGTTTGGTCATTGAGTGCTTATGGCCTTAATTTTCTTTCTGCTTATTTTGGATGGTTTTTAGCAGTCTCAAATGGGGAGTCTGATAATCGGAGTTTAGAAGAGATTTTGGGTAGCATCTCTCCTCCCCCTCCTCCAGCAATGACCAATGAAGCCGGTGCTCCTCGTCTCATGATAACTCACATTGTAAACCAGAACTTCAAATCCTATGCAGGGGAGCAAACTTTGGGACCTTTTCACAAGGTAATTTTCTTCTCCCTTAAGCAGTCTCTAAATGAAGGTAAGGTTTTGCTGCATGCTGGTGGCCCTTCCTGTAGTTTCGCATAACCTCACGTCAGAAAAACTGAAGAGTATTGAGCTTTTAGAATTGCTTTGGTGGTGATATCCTTTCGTTTAGTTACTGAGCAGTAGGGAAAACAGCAAAGTGCAAATTCTTGATTCTGTACAATTGTAATTTGTCAGAAAGCCTGCAAAAAAGCTCACTTCTGTCTTTATTTCGTTTGCTGGGGAATTTTGAGGAGCATGTTTGAAGAATGAGAATGTTTTTAGTGCCCACAAGAGATTTTCATGGCTAATCATGAAACTTTCCTTGCGAATTTGCTTGCTAAGTGCAGTATCACTTTGAGTTAACAAGTTCTGATTTAGAAGGCTGAGCTGAGTGGAGGTGTTTTGTTCTCTTAAATAAGTTGTACTGCTCTGCCTTTGGTTGTGAAGATTAAGCTATCAAATAAGCTGCAGTTTCCTGTGCTAGAAATAATTATGTTTTGAACTATTTACAAATGAAGTGGGTGATGCACACTGGATCTATTTTCCTCAGCCCGACAGCTTTCTTCCTTCTGTTCTGCAGCGTTTTTCGTGCATTATTGGGCCCAATGGCAGCGGGAAATCCAATGTCATTGATGCGATGCTTTTTGTGTTTGGGTATCGAGCACAAAAAATCAGATCCAAAAAACTCTCTGTGCTGATCCATAATTCTGAGGAACATACAGATATCCAGAGCTGTTCTGTGGAAGTCCACTTCCAAAAGATCATTGACAAGGTATGTATCCTGCTGCTCAGGAGGGTGGCACTTATTTTATTCAAGCGTTTGACAACTTAATATTTGATTAGTTTGAGCTGGGGAAGACGTGGTGCCATAGTTTACCCTTGGGATGTAAAACATCAATTTGAAGTTAATTAGCTTAAAAATCCCTCTCTCAAGTGGTGCAGTTCTTAAAATATGAGCAGGGACTCTTGTGCTGTTCTGTGAGATGAGTATTTGGTATGCAGTCATTTTGGAGCTGCTCAGAATCATCTAACTGTCATTTTCAGAAGTCGTTGTACGTTTGTCATTTCTTTTCCCTGAAGTAAATAAATTTTCAGAAATGTTAATTCTGAAATTAACAGCACCTTGAGTAACTTTTGAGTCTACTTTTGGATGTGTTATGTATTCCTACATTTCTAATACAAGCATATAGATTCAGGTGTAAAGCCTATTGAAGCAAAAGCCTTCAAACCAATTAGAAGCTATTTTAGAAAATTCATGAAATATAAAACCAATCTGAAACACTTAATGGATGATAAATGTGCCTGCAGTTTTAAATCAGATT